TTGCTTCACCCTCCATTTTACAAGTCAGGAAACTAAGACTCAGAAAATTTGCCCAAGGCCTTGTGGGTAGTAAGCTTCTTAGATGACAGTTTCATGTTATTTCCACTATGTAGTGGCTTTCTAGTGAGATGCTTTGGAACTCAAGTTTCCACTGAGAGGCCTCAGCGGCCATCATATGTCAAGAGGAAAGGAAGCTAGAACCATGCCCAGGACTGACCACCTGCATGCACAGAGTTGATTGCATGGCATTTCACTTAGATTACTAAAAAGACTCTCCTCATTAGAGAGAGAGAGAAAGAGAGAGAGAGAGAGAGAGAGAGAGAGAGAGAGAGAGAGAGAAGAAGAAGAAGAAGAAGAAGAAGAAGAAGAAGAAGAAGAAGAAGAAGAAGAAGAAGAAGAAGAAAAAGAAGAAGAAGGAGGAGGAGGAGGAGGAGGAGAAGGGGAAAGGGAAGGGGAAGGGGAAGGGGAAAGGGAAGGGAAGGGGAAGGGGAAAGGGAAGGGGAAGAAGAAGAAGAAGAAGAAGAAGAAGAAGAAGAAGAAGAAGAAGAAGAAGAAGAAGAAGAAGAAGAAGAAGAAGAAGAAGAAGAAGAAGAAGAAATTTTCACTTTGTTATAGCAAGTTATTTATTTTTATTTTTTGGTAGAGTAAAGCCTGTGAAGCTTTTCAAGTAGTAATATAACACAAGTAAAGCCGTGCTTTAACATATGGACTGGCTATTCTTGTAATTGCTAAAAACAAGAGATCCCTGCAATTCAGTTATGAGTGGAGGTCAAGTTCTGCCAGAATCTCATGGAAAATACTGCATTCCACCATGGTTCTGTTTAAAACCCACAGCCTCTTTATGACACCCTCCAACTAGCAGTTACTTTATAAATAAACATCTAGTTGATGTAAAAGAGAGTGATGACTGTTCCGGAGACTAAGAAAACACATGACTTTTCTAGTTTCAAGTCTGGACTCTCTGGTTCCTTAATGCCCTTGACATGTTTTGCTTAAGTTTTAAGAGTTTACAGGTTTCTTTCCTGTCCTGGCCAATGTTCATTTTGACCTCAGAGGGGAAAGTAACAAGAGAGGGGACAGAAGAGGAAAATGTCTATGTAACAGGTCAGAGATGACAAAAGATGATTTGAATGATTACTCACCCAGCAAACTTGCAGGATTCAAGAGTGAGTCTCGATAATCATTTGCCTTCTCCAAAGCCACCTGTCAGGGACTAGTTTACATTATAGATGCATAGCAAGGCTGTAATCCCCAGAGGACAGCCTTACAAGGAATCAAATAAAATTATCACTTACTCTATGTTGTTGGGTTTTACAGACCAGGAATCAGTACACACACACACACACACACACACACACACACACACGTGTGTATGTGGGTGTGGGTGCTGTTATTTTATTTAACCCTCAGAATGGCCCTGGGAGTAGAACACTTCATTCACTTTACAGGTGAGGAAACTAACTCACCTGTAACTTGCCAGAAGTCCTATAAATAACATAGGATAAAGCTGTTTTAAACCAGGTCTATACAACTCAAAAAATAGCATTTCTAGGGAGTAAGAAACCAAAATCTCAGACTCTAAAATATTCAGAAGGCTTGTTCGAGTGAGAGTGTTGCCACCAGTTTACTCATGTCAACAGTTGATAACAGTAAGTAAAAAAAAAAAATCTTATATAATAAAGAGCTAATTAGACCGGGGTGGAACTACCTTCTGGAATGACCTTCTGAAACAACCAGTGGGCGAGGCAGCCAGGGCTTTGAAGGCCTACTCTTGCATGAATTTCATGCATCAGGCCTCTAGTAAGGTCAGAAAAGCAAGTGGCAAAAGGCCAGGTGTTTATCTTTGTAGAGTCAAATTTGTGTGACTCATACACTAAGAAATGCTACCTCCATCTGAAGCTACTTGGCTCATCCCTCAAGAAGTAACTGCTCCCTTTCTTCTCCTTTTCAGCTTTTTGTGAGGGAACCTGAAAAGAGGCTGGGAGTAAGGGGAGACATCCGACAGCACCCTTTGTTTCGGGAGATCAATTGGGAAGAGCTTGAAAGAAAGGAGATTGACCCACCATTCAGGCCTAAAGTGGTAAGGAGACACCCAGGGATGGGACCACCTGTTCCAGCCATTCTCCTTCTACTCCCAAGCTGCCTGCCTGTCCCCTTGAGGGTGGGAGGGGCCCGACTCTCAGTTCTGCTCCTATATATAAGGGTGACTTTTGATAATCTTAGAAAGCTGAATTGTACACCATACTAAATAGAATTCATGAATAAGTGTTTCTTATTACATTCTCTATCTCTTTCATGGGCACCAAATGGACCAGGTGGCTGGAGGAGAACCTGTCCCAATCTGGGTTGTCTTGGTAAACAGTCCAAGATGTTTAATAATAAAATTAACATAGGTGGGAGAACCAATAGCAGTGAAGGATATGGATAAAAGAACCGGAATAGAGAATCTCAAAACTCCTTCCTTCTCCCACCTTTCACCAACCCCCAGCCCCCACCCCTACCCACTGTTCCCTGTAGACTAAAAGGACAGAGGTCAAATTTGGGCTCACTCTTTTTTTCAAAGGTGGCCAATTCTGCTTCATGTAAACTATTAGCTAGAAACATTAGATCCTATTTGAATGTTTACTATGGAATTCCTTTATATGAACTTAATTATACTATTATTAAATTGATGAGTCAGGATATTAGAGATGTTCAACAAAAACCACATATGATCATCAGTATTATTTCAGTTTAGTTTATCTGCAAAGATCAACACTGTCATACACAGATTATAATTCAGCTTTCTAAGATTATCAAAAGTAGAGATAATTAATTTAGTGGCTGATTTTCTTCCCTTCTTCTCTCCCCCATCCGTCCCTGCCCCGCCCCCGCCCCCAAACTCTGATCAAGAAATCACCATATGACTGCAGCAATTTCGACAAGGAATTCTTAAATGAGAAACCCCGGCTGTCATTCGCCGACAGAGCACTGATCAACAGTATGGACCAGAACATGTTCAGAAACTTTTCTTTCATTAACCCGGGAATGGAGACGCTGATATCCTGAATCCCATCTTCAGACACGCGAAGGAATTTGCCTTCTCTCTGTGAACTGGTTCGAGTGACACTCCTTGGGTTCCTTTTCAACTTGGGAAAGAAAAGAAACACTCAACAATAAAGGCTGAGGCCTTTCAGCTCCTCACTGACTTTGCATCTGTAGCAGAAACCAACTCAACTTCACTAATGACACCACCTTTGGTTTCTCTGATCTTTCACGGCTATTCTTGAAGTTAGGTCATGACTAACCATAGTTATTTACTTGAAAGATGGTTCTTCGCACTGGGAAAGATGTGAAAACTTAATTCTGCTCTAAATGATG